AGACAGCAGCAGAAGTACAAGCAGCGAAGGCTTCTTTGTTGCTGCAGCTGCGTGCTGTGGGTATCGATCCATCTGAAGCATTGAACAGCTGGCGGGGTGGAGGCCTTGCTGCTGCTGCTGCTTCTGCTGCTGCTGCTGCTGCTGCTGCAGGGCAAGAGCTGCTGCCGATGGTTGTTGTCGATGCGAGAGAGATGCGCTGCTCTCTTCCTTATGAGCTCTTCCGCTCTCAGGTGCATGTACACCCCACCACCATCACAGTGGGGGACTATGTCCTCACCCGGTGAGTTGCTGCTGCTGCTGCTGCTCTTGCTGCTGCTGCTGCTGCTGCTGCTGCTGGGTGCACTGCACCTGTATGCTTGCTGCTGCTGCTGCTGCTGCTGCTGCTGGGTGCACTGCGCCTGCATGCTTGCTGCTGCTGCTGCTGCTGCTGCTGGGTGCACTCCGCCTGTATGCTTGCTGCTGCTGCTGGTGCTGCTTCTGCTGCTGCTGCTGGGTTGCACAGGGATATCTGCGTCGAGCGGAAGGCTATTGGTGATTTGGTGCAGTCCCTCAACTCAGGCCGTCTCTATCATCAGGTACTCCTGCTGCTGTTGCTGCTGCTGTTGCTGCTGCTGTTGCTGCTGCTGTTGCTGCTGCTGTTGCTGCTGCTGCTTCTGCTTCTGTTCGGCTGTTGTTGCTGCTGCTGCTGCTGCTGCTGCTGCTGCTGCTGTTCCGGGGTGTACAGACAGCTGGTGAATACCTGTGGCACGAATGCATACTCCCCATGAGGGGGACCCCGGCTGCTGCAACTGCTGCGGCGAGTACGACTGCTGCTGCTGCTGCTGTTGCTGCTGTTGCTGCTGCTGCTGCTGCTGCTGCTTCAGGCACGCCTACTAGTGCGTCACTATCAGTCTCCTTGTTTGCTGCTGGACTTTGGAGGGTCACCAGTGGACCTTTCTGCTGCTGCTGCTGCTGCTTCACCCAACAGCAGCAGCAACAGCAACAACAGGCATGGCAGGGACGTGCTGCACCCCATCTGGGACAAGTTAGCAAGTGCTGCTGCTGCTGCCGCTGCTGCTGCTGCTGCTGCCGCTGCTGCTGCTGCTGCTGCTCCTGTTGTTGTTGCTGCTACCGCCTGCTGCACCCGCTCCGTTCTGCTTGTTGCTGCGTCGTTGCTGCTGCTGCGAATGAAAGTTTTCCTGCATCGTTTGATGCTGTTGGCTGTCGAGGCTGTTACGGAGAAGCTATATATATTTTGCTGCTGTTGCTGCTGCTGCTGTTGCTGCTGCTGCTGCTGCTGCTGCTGCTGCAGGCTGCTGCTGTTGCTGCTGCACTTCCCGTCGTTACGGCTCCTCTGGGCCCCACATCCAGCATTTGCTGCCAGCGTTTTCGTCGCAATGAAAGTATGTCTGGTGCAGCAGCAGCAACACAACAGCAGCAGCAGCAGCACCAGCAGCACCAGCAGCAGCACGAACAGCAGCAGCAGCAGCTGCTGCTGCTGCTGCTGCTGCTGCAAAGAGTATGGCTGAAGCCCATTGAAAGAGGCAAAGCGGCTGCCTCTTCGCGCAGGAGCCCTGACGGCATTGGTTCTCGTGCTGCTGTGGCCCCTGTTGTTGTTGCTGCTGCTGCTGCAACAATGCTGCTGCTGCTGCTGCTGCTGCTGCTGCTGCTGTGTGCCTGCAGGTGGGGAGGGAGCAACCATCCCTCTTAAGGATAGCGGAGATAGACCGACTTGTCTTGGCAGGAGAAGGGCCTTCTTCTGATACCCAGCAGCAGCAGCAGCAGCAGCAGCAGCAGCAACAGCAGCAGCAGCAGCAGCAACAGCAACAACAGCAGCAGCACCCCTCTAATCCCGCCACGCCTCTAGCTATAGAGGATGCTCCTGCAAGTGCAGCAAAGCAAGAAGACAGCAGCAGCAGCAGCAGCAGCAGCAACAGCAGCAGCAGCAGCAGTAGCAGCATACAAGGCGGCAAGAGCGAAGAAAAGGAGCAGAGCCCGAAGAAGCCTGCAGCAGCAGTTCGTGCTGCAGCAGCTGCTGCTGCTGCTGGAGGCCGTATGCTGCCAGCAACAGCAGCAACAAATGCAATTGCTGTTGATCTGCTGCGGCGTCTGCCGGGCATAACTGCACTCAACATTAACACTGTTGTCTCGCGAGTGAGGAACTGCATTGCTGCTGCTGCTGCTGCTGCTGCTGCTGCTGCTGTTGCTGCTGCTGCTGTTGCAGCTACTGTTATTGATGCTGTGTGCTGCTGTTGCTTCTGTTGCGGCTGCTGCTGCTGTCGATCTAGCTGCTGCCCTAGAGAGCGTGTTTGCTTCAGCAGCACGGCTGCTGCTCCCCCCCGTCAGCAGCAAGTCTTCCAGCAGCAGCAACCCAAACAGCA